TATTAAGGATTATAAAGGCATTTACCACTTCTTAAGCAAAGCAAGTTAGCTAGTAATTATTAGCGCTAATACTATTAATATAATATATAACTATATTAGCATTAACAGGGAATGAAAATATATTAACAAGCTGCAATGGGGTTAAGAGTATATTTTTAATAGAATTAATAAGGGTATTAATTAAAGCTATATTATAAAAATAAGTATAGCTACTTAAGTAAATAGCGGGGGTAATAGGGAGTGGCTTTGCTAGTATAATGCTTATAGCCTTGCAGAAATTAATAATAGCATAGTTAAAGGCTAGGGTAAATATAGCCACGTTGCTATAAGTAAGGGTAATAAATTTAACTTGCTTAGGGATAAAAATATGGTTATTATTGGCAGCAATTGCTTTCTTTAAATAATATTATGCATTTTATAATAGCGGTAAATCGGTAAATATATATATATGCTAAATATATTTATGCTTATAATAGCAATAGCTAATGCAAAATGCATTATAACCTCTAAGAATATAAATAGGCAGCTTACTAGTTTTATAAAAAGTTGCAATATATGGTTTATAAGGGAAGGATAGCTACTTAGCAAGCTACTAATCCTTATTATTAAAATTGCTAAGCACTTAATATAATTTTATAATATAATGTCTTTATACCTAGTTAATAATTATAATAAACTTATATTAAGGGAGAAATAAGGCAACCTTAAGGGTTATATTGCCAGGGCAATAGGGCAGCTTGCCGCCATTACTATTAGCAGCAGCCATATTAAAGCCATTATATTAATCATTAAAACCTATAATAAAAGCCATTTCTTATTCTTTTCTTTGCATAGCAAAAGGGGAGCGGGTATTAAGGAGGATATTAAGGGATTAAAAGGGTATTAATAAGCTATAGGAAGGGCGTTTAATAAATAGGATATAAATAAAGAAGGGTATATTAAGGAACTATTAAGGGATTAAGAGGGTATTAATGCATTAAAGCAATAACTTCTTAATGAAAAAGGGCAGCCATGGGGAAAGCATGATAAGCATAAGGATAAATGGTTAAAGAATTGGATTGCAAGAAAGCTAAGGGATTATATGGATATTAATTAAGTTAGGGAAGGCTTTTTAGTTAGGGGTAAGATAAAGCTAAGGGGGGGTAATTAATATAAATAAAGAAATAATTACAAGGGTAATAAAAAGGTTGCGCAAAGGTAATAAAATGGTATGCGCAATGGGTACGTTATAGTAGTGATATGGTATTAAGAAGAAGGAATTGCAAAGGGAAGTGTGCTTATAGGGAAGTTGTTTTAGGTAATGATAATAAATATAATGCAGGGGCAATGGCTGCAATAAGCAATGCTAATATATTAATAAAAAGCATGCTATGGCTTAAGGCCGGTAATATATATGGCTTATGCATAATTATAATGCATTAATAAAGAACTATATATATAATAGCAATATTATTATATTATAATAGCACTGCATTATACTAAGCATAGCATATAAATATAGCTAATGCAGGAATAAAATGGATAATTATTACTTTTAAGATAAATAAATATAGCCTTAAGATAAGTATGTAGTAAGGTAAATATATAATTAGCATAAAACTGCAAAAGCCCTGGATTTAATCCTTGCCATGCGCAATATAAGAGTGAAAAGGGGGCTATATAATGAGCTTAGGCTATTGCCTAAGCTATAATGCATGCCCATGCCGGGCTTATATTATACTTAATCCTTTTATATAACAAGGCATATACTTAAAAGATAAATCCAGAGTTGGGCCCTTTTAGGGCCTAATTTACTTCTTAGATATTGCAATTCATAACTCCTTTTAGGTACCTTCCAGCAAACACTCAAGGCCAACCCATAATAAAAATAAGTTAAATTTATAAATAATAAAAAAGTAATTAACATTAAAGGGGCTTAATTCTTTTATATATTTAATTAATTAAAAACTTTTTATAATTAATTTTTACCTTATATTAATTTTATAAAAATATTTAAGGGGTAATTAAAAAGCTTTTTAAAAAAGGTTTATGTAGTTATGGACGTGCCATAGGGGGACAGCAGCACTGGGCACGATAGGCACTATGGGCAATTGGCACTAGAGCACCGGCAGGCAAGGGTCATGTGCGGCAGCACGTGACCACCCCCAGATAGTTTATAGCCAGAGGGAGGTTCTGCAGCCTACGGCCGCAACCCTCCTTCCTTTTATATAGCCAATTTAAATACAACCAGTCTGCTATTAACCAACGTACGTTAACCCAGCCAACAGTTTATTTTATATTTAAAAATTCTTTTAAATAAAAATATATTAAGCTTAACTTAATTATATTATAATAACGTTATAAGGAAAAAATAATAAAATTTTTAATTTAATTTAATTAATTAACTTATATAATAAAGGCTTAAAGTTAATTAAATAAATATAAGATATTATTAATAATTAATAGTTTAATCTTTATAATAAAAGCTTAGCTTAATTATAAAAAGTAATTAAAAAAATTTAAAGCTTTTTACTTTACTTTATAATAATATAAAAGCATTTTTAATATTATAATAAAAAAAAATAATACTTAACTTTAAAATAATAAAGTAATAAATATTAATATTATAATAATTTTAATAAATAAAGTTAAGTATTTTATATATAATTAATTTAATTATTATAAGCATAATTACTTTAATTATTATAAAAAAATAAAGGTATAACTTTTATTAATTAAGGTTAATAAAAAGGAAGAGTTTATTTAAAGGGGCGTAAAAATTTTCTTATAAGGTAGGGCTTAAAGCATTATTAACTTAATATTAACTTAAGCTTAAAGCAAGTTAGCTATATATTAATTAATTTAACCTTATAAAATATTTAAAATTTAAATAATTTTTTATTAAGGGAATAAATTATTAATATATTAAATATTAATTAATTATAAGGCATATAATAACTTTATAATTTTAAAGCTTTAAATAAAAAAGTATTTATAAATAATTTATATTAAAGGATTATAAAATTATTATTAGCTTAATAATTAACTTATACTTAAATAATTATTTTTATTACTTAATATATTAAATTATAAGGATTAAAAATATATTAATTATAAAATAAGTTAAGCTTTTAATATATTTAAAAAGCATTAAAGTATAATTAAATAATTAAGTAAAGGATAATATTTAATTTATAATTAAATTATAATATTCTTTTATTTCTTATTAAATAGCTATCCTTTTAAGCTTATTATAAAAACTTAAAGAAGAAAGATATATTATAATTTAAGCTTTACTTATTATAATTAATTAGCAAGCTTTAACCCTATAAGAATAAGCTTTGGCATGGGTGTAAATAGGGAGCAAACCTCTTCCTTTGCACCTTAAATATAAACCTCATTTAGGCACCTTTTACAAACAACCCTAGGCTAGCCCATAACACTAACTTAAGAAAGTAATTTTAATTTAAAGGGCATAATATAAATGCTTAAAGATATTGATTTTTAAAGTAGGCCCGCTAACTGCCTTTGGAAACACTAGCAGATTTCCTTTATCGGGGAGGGTGGAATTCATCATCCCGGTGCTCGATGCAAGTGTTCCGACGCTCGGCTTTAGCTCCTCAGGTCGATCTCCTTACATCCAAAGTCATTTCCTTTCGACTGTGGGTCCGTGGGGTCCAACCATCGTGTCCCGAGGTCAGGAGAGGCCATTGCTCCCAAGATGGCAAAGCTTGTGTTTTTGGCAGTTCCGCAGTTCACGAAGCAAGCGGGTACACAGATACAGCGATACAGCGGATACAGCTGTGTTCGGAGGCTAAGAAGGGGGACAGAGGTTGACCGAGCCACGGAAGTCGGGGCCGCGATGTTAGCACTTTAGGTACTTGGCCCGTGGGGATGTGCCTCAAGATAACAATCTCCAGATCAAAGACACATCCAGTATCCGAGGCAAGGCAGTATATTTGCATTTCGCGGGATGTGGGATTGTGAACTGCAATTGAACTGCTAGGCCTGTGTTGAAGTGCTGAAGGGCTGAAGGACATTTGATCTTGAGGAAGGTCAGCCAAGCTTCACTTCCCCAGATATCCAGCAAGGTTCAGCCTCAAACTCCCAGAGCAGACGATCGACGTCGTGACGATCACACAATACCTTGTGTTATGTATCCTTGCTCTGCCGCGTCAGTGTTACCCGGATCTGCCCAACAAAACTTTATTCGACCCCACCCACTCCGTTCAAAATGGTTCCGGGAAAACACTGCTCCTCGTCTGGCAGGCGCGCAGGCTTGCGCGACTCAGCACCTCGTGTACCGCGGCCTAAAAACCGAATGCATATCATGTGCACTGCCCGATCTAGAAATACATGATCCGCTCTGATCCACGGCAAGGAGCCTTTTGATTCATGGTTGTAAGCGAAGCAGATTGCCTCCGTCTGGATCTTCAGGCACCGTCTCTGTTGACCGACACAGCTCGCGGGTCTCAAACGCCTACACGTAAGCTCATCATTCCAGCACAATGAAGATCAGTAAAATAATTGTTCAGGATAAACAAAGCAAACTGTTGTGTGAGACACCTCTCCCAAACCTGTCTCCAGTGGAGTGTGTTTCTTGCTGCTCGTCCAATCCTGCATGCCTGGTGGACTGGGGAGCTCTCCAGGATGCAGAGAGACAAACGACGGGCAGGGCGAGAAGGCGTTGCTTGTCCAGTCCATCATGATCAAAGTGCAAAAAACCGCAAAAAGAAAAACAAATGATCTGGCCCGGGCTCGAACCGGGGACCTTCAGTGCTCCCATTAATCGCTCTGGAGGAGTTATTTAATGTTAGACTGATGTGATGAACCAACTACACCACCGGACCATGTTGCTGACAAGCGAGAAAATCTATGGAATATGTGGGAGGGCTGTGGGAAAACCTTTTGGTGGGTGGGGAACCAGCCATCGCTCCTTGGCAAGCAGGGTTTGTGCCCCACTCCAATCCTTTCTTCAGTGCTTATCAGTGACTGTTCTTGACTGATTTGTTTAACCAGATTCACCACTGGACCTGTTCTGTGAGGATCCCGGTTGATTGCGCCGATGTGAAGCTGTGGACGGTGATCAAATTCTGCGGGCTTATCTCCGCCACATGGTGGGAAAAGCGGGGCTCGGATGCGGCCCCCGCCGTGTGGCCGGCTTTGATTGGTCAGCTTCCGCACCCCCGTCAGCACCAGCCAATCATTGTACATCCCTTTCCCGTGCTCCGCAAATTACCCAAATTGGGCCGCTTGCACACAACTCCGTATGGCCCTGAATGCCATGGAGAGAGCCAACAGTCTGGTCAGCTTGCCTTGAGACGATCTTACAATCGATTCGAAATCGAATCAGTGTAGTCAATTCCTCAAAATTCAGAATGTCATGGCCACAGGACCATCACAGCTCCAAGGCCGAGTTCGTTCTTTCAACGTCACGTGTAAATTGCATGCATGCATCAGCAATTGAAGAAGACGACTGACCTCGCAAGCTGAGTCCTATACATTCGAGTATATCACTTCAAATCGCTCACACAAAACCATACTATCGTCACCAAACTCATGACCGTTCTCCTCCTTCCTGTAGAATGCGATATGCCCCTCCCGATAGTCATCATAGTCACCTTCCGCCTCCGCCAGCGCAAAGTCTTCCGCCACGTCCCTAAACTTGCACTCAACGAATGACAAGGTCCGCATTACGGCCGCCGGCTCGCCCTTGCCGTTGAGAATGACAGACAAGTCCCCTGGGCCCCAGTGCAGGGGCTGCGGGATAGGCCACGAGGTAGTCGCTGTCTTTTTGCCTTCGACTGCCAGCTGTAAAAGCTCGTCCGTCACCCGTGGGTTGGTACCGCCGAATGCGAAGACATCTTTGGGGGGTGCAAGGTCACGGCCTAGGGCTTTGGAGGCCTTTTCCATAAAGGCGACGATGTCTGATCGGCCCGGGTCGACTTGAGACATCGCGGCAAGAGATTCTGTGAGTAGGACTGAAGGGGACGCGTGAAGATCGATGTTGGTTTGTGGATCAGGCTTGAAATGTCTGGAGCCTGGATTGCGCCTCGTCGAGTGGGAGAAGTGATGGTGTGTCTATATGTATATGCTTTACGAGCAATGAAGCGTAGCGTCAAGTCACACTAATCTAGTCCATGCTCGCCGGGCGGAGTCACTCGGTGGGACACAACGTTAAGACGCCAAGTATTGGCGCGAGAGAGCTGCATGCGCCACCTAAACTCACTCCCACAATTTTCAACCCAGAGAGCAGAATGTAACAACCCCCAAAATCCCCTGTCTTTGATTTCTTCGTTTCACCCATGGCTGTCTCCCACAGGTACTTAATTAACCTAAACTTGAAAGTAGCTCAGTAATTCACAATCCATAATCATAGTGGGATTAAGTTGCAAGCTGAATCTGTAGCCCTGGACACTACTGATATCATAACCTTTCAACGGACGATTGATGGTGAATCAATCAGGGAAACCGTGATGCAACTCTTAAATGATTTCTCTGACGAAATTGTCGAGTTTAATCGCGAGCACTGAAGGATGAGAAACTCGAGCTATTCAATCGTTGACATGGCTGTCGAGCTGTTTTAAGAAGGAGCATGAGAATGGCAAATTCAAACAAATCGGAGATTTGTACCTGCAAAAACAGAGGGTCCACCGGTATATCAACTGCCGCCATAGCTGTAGCTAATCAGAGCGTACCAACCAGGCCTAATTCGTCCACCCACACCCAACACCTACACGCCTAAGTTGAATTGGGCGTGTGAGTCGGGCGTATGGGTGTAGGGGTATTGGGTGTGGGTGTGGGTGTTGCGTGTAGTTGTTGCGTGTGTGAACTCTTACGTGGTTGAGAGGTGGCGATGTACCAGTGTACCCTTCGTTTTTGCAGGTGCCAATCTCCGTATTCAATATAAAAACGGTAAGTATGAAAAATTATCATACCTCATTGACCAAGTTTCTGCCTAGCCTGACCTGATCTATATCAATGGAAAAGAGATCAGTCGCCTGGTTCAAGATAGTCCTCAGAAAGGAGCTCTTACACAGGCCAACGTTATTTCTGCTACCCTAGTAGTAACTAGTAGCAGAAAAGAACTTCCGTGAGACTTTCAGGTTCCATTACATACATCATCAGCAAGAGATAATTCTTGATAAAAAGACTACAACCCTTATCCTTCTAACACACGTCAGCCCCAAAGTATACTTCTTCTTCGGCGATCACAAACAGCTGGCTCCAATCATCTTCTTCACATACCAGCACCACAAGCACAAACCGCCCTTCCAATTTGGGTTTTGCGGTGCAGAGAATGCAGTCTTGACGTATGACATGTACAGATCCGAGATCTATATGGCCTCCTCCCATCTGCCATCAGAAACCATAGCTCTCATCGCCGTGATGGTGCTCTCCACAGAATGCTTGGCCATGCCCTCCTCAACAATCCTTTTCTCCGCCAGTGCTCCGTCATCCAGATCCGGATGCATCCATTCAAAGGTGTACGTCAGGTAAAGCTCGTCATCAGGTCCCCGACTAACAATGTTTGCGATGTGGCTCCCATTCGGCTGCCTGAATTCGACCTTGACTGGGTAGAAGGTTGTGACGACTTCCTCCACGCGCCTATTGCCCTCTCGGAAGGTGACCATGCGTGTCGTCACGGGGCGCCCCTGCGTGTCCTTCGACTCCGACACGACCTCCGTATTTAAGATAGCACCCCCAACAAAGTCCTCTGCCCGACGGATTTTCCGGCGAAGGAGAGCCCAGATCTGTGGTTCAGACAGCTTGGGCTCCGCCGACGGAGGATTGATCGGAGCCGTGTACGCAACATAATTTGCAGGCGACATGTTCGGACGGAGTGATGATTGTGAGAATCAGTGCAATCGTCTTTGACAACAACAGATGACTTGACGTGAATCTGATCAGGTCCCACAATTGAGGTCAAGCACAAATTGGCAGTCCACGCGGTTGTCGCTCAAGCGGACATTTCCCCGCGTTACAATGCCCGGACCAGCCGGACATCCCCAACCAATCTTCTTCCAGCACCTGCAGGACTCGCCGCTTTCCTACGATACACTCATCAGCGTGTCTGGCCATGTGGACATCAATTTGTGGTGAGCCAGAGAATTGCGTCAAATAGTTGACAGACCATGCCCGCATGTTTTTGCTTTGAGCGACACAACCAAAGTCACTGTTGTGCATTGGGTCCGCATGCGACAATAGACCTGTATCTTCACATGCACAATTGGCTAAAACTGGTACGATCCACCGCCGCAGAGGCTCTGTTGAGTTCTAGGGAATTATGAAAACACTCGAGATCTCTGGGAACTGGCTTGGATCATACCGCCGGCACATCAATAGCGGCTTGTCTCGAGGAAATGCCTACCTTCTTGGACATCCGCGAAGACAGCTCAGTCCCTAGAATGTGGTTCAGAAATCTCTACTCACTCTCATTTTAACAAAGTCGTAATACGTATCGACATAGTTGGCTAACTAATTTGGCACTCTCACAGCTCTACTTTGATATTAGCAGTGTCTTGACGGCAAATCTGAAGCGTAGTTGGGAGATTGCATAATCCTCATAACAAAGAGGAGACGGATGCTTCATCAAATTAGCAGGATCTACCTGCATATCAATGTAGCGGTTCAGCCTATCGAGGCTTCTTCTTCAAAGGTTCATACCTTTAGAGATATGCGCTCCGGTCCAAGAACACAAAGTGCTTGGCGGATCAAACTCTCACTCGTCGTCCGACACGTGCCTGTCGCTGCTTAGATTCACTTCAATATGGATGGTGTTTTGTTAGGAAAGCCTACTTTGACACAATAGGAACAGAGAAGCTCTGTTCGATACACCCTGACTGTACCTCAAGCTGCGGCTTGAGCTTCATCGCATTTCCAAGCAGTGAAAGCAGTGGCTGGCCGTAAATCTGGCCAGAGCAAACAGCCACATGGCAAATAGTACACTAGTAGAGATATAGATACGTATAAGGTGACTGATAGGCTCCGAATTATCACTTCGCACCCGCTGAGATTATGAAGCCTCTCAACCAGTTAGAACCGTCCTTGTGTTCTCTGTGACTTCAATGTCTGTGTGAAGCACATGTCATCCGTGTAGACAGATATTAGTTGATGCCTGAACGAGAGGTATTATATCAACATCCAATGCCTCCATGGTCTCACACCTCGATTGGGTCGCAAATCTACTGAGCGTGACCTTGACTACATATCGTGCGCAAGATGGGACTGGGGGTCATTCATGTATAACACCTCAGACTCGCATCTTCAGGCTGAGGAATCAGCTTGATCACCACTCTTGGTGGGCCTTTTGCGGTAGACACTACTGGGAATAGGATCTAAGCATGTTCTCACATCTGCTCGCGCCATTAAGGTGGAAGAGCGAATAGGGTCTGCAAAACTGGCGATCTTTGTGTCCTAAGTGGGCGTGGTAGCCAGAATCTGACTGCAGAGAGAGCTCATGGGACTTTTCTTCATCTTCTTCTTCTTTTATGTACGTACGCATGTGATCGGTGCGTACTCACTATTCACTGGCACAATGAGCGATAGCGATAGTTCATCCTGGGCCTGTACTTCATTTTGATGATCATGGATAGTATTCAATCCTCAGAGTCCCATCCGGTCTTCATATCACGAGACTCCAAGCCTTCTGTTCATTGTGGATCAAATATGTTGTGTGCATTAAAGTCAGTCATGCGGTCTTAATCGCCATTCCTGAAATAACAGGACGGTCTCACTGCCGATACACAAACATTACATGGGGTTTTTGATGAGCTGCTGCATATTTGTCGTTGCACTTGTGGTGAGCTTCGAACAGCTCCGACAGTGGGTGGCTCTGACGGTGGGTACCATTAAGAGCTGCGATAAGTACACGTGTCGCCCAGAGATGACGGCTTTCTCCTTACAGTTGAAATTACAAATTTAATCATATGAATGCTATAGTGAGAAAAATAGGGGGCTTGATGAAAGGATCTGAAGTTGTTGTGAGGTCATCCCGTCTGCGAGTGGAAATGTGCATTCGCGGAAGGCCTCCCGCAAATGTTTCAATTGTTTGCAATTGCGTCACAACGGCGAGGAAGCCCTCTGATCATAGCCACATGGCATTATACATTCGAAACGGCAACTAATGGTGAGACCGTGGGTGGCGATGTGACCTTGGCACCCGTGCTCAAGGTCGACCCTTGACGGGTCTGGCCAGCAGGCCTTACCAGTAACAGCTGGGCATCCCTTTTGCCACGAGAGACTCCCTGCCCTATACTTCGGCAGCCGCGTTCGGACTAAGAGGCGTGATGCTACGACCGGCGGGTGGTCAGCCAGCTCCAGATCCACTTCCCGAAAGTATATTTGACCTCATGTCATCGGAAGTATGGGCAGCGACCAGAACTAGGTGAGCTCGAGGACCGAAAAGATGGGATTCGATTGAAAACTATTCAGTCGCGCACCGCACTGTTTATCAACTCAACTAGATCTTTCAATTGCCTGCACTAAAAATCGGGTCGAATGGCATTCTCTGCCACTAACCCGTTGTGATAGGCAGCGCTAGGCATTTAGACGTTGCAATTTCACACCCTTGACCACCAATAGACCGTGTTCTAGGCCGCTAACACCTAGCCACCAAGACGTCATCTTTGGTCTGGGATGGAAGCCCAAGTCAATGCCTCGCACATGGGCAAGCATACAAAACGGGAAGCGACTGGCTTCTTCCTGGTATTGATCGGACATTTTGGTCCGTAGCCCTTTGGGCGGGAGGCGGAACTCTTCCAGAAGAAGGAGGCCAAGTGGTGGATGAAATATCTCAAATGACACGAAGTCTGCCCTCTACGACCACAGATGGCTTTGTTCTCTCGGATTTCTTCAACTACTGCAGAACAGCCAGATGGGATGATAGCTCTGTCAGCCGCTGCGAGCGTTGAATGGGACCAAATTTAAGGAGTTGACTAGTCTAGCGTGGAAGAATCTTGATCCCATTTAGCCCAAGGCGTTTCAGCAGACTTCTCAATCACCATTGGGTGGGAAGCTCGGCGCCTCTAATTCCCTCACAAGGGGCTGGTGACTGTTCTAGAGTGCGATGACGAATAGGCTGGCAGATGCGGGCTACTTTGGCAGGTCGCATGGCGCATGAACATGGAATGGTGTGGCTTGACCGTGCTGTTGATCAAATCTTGAAATCACGGTTACAAGCATGGCTGCTAATTAAATGAAGACTCGGTATGGTGACCTGTTTGGGTTGGATCGTGGAAAGACATGTAATTTCATGGCCTTGCTTGCTTGCATGACTATTCGCTGCTGCTCGCTCTGAAAAAAACTGCTGTTATTTCACCCTGAGGTCTTGGCCCCTGCGGTCTAATCTCATAGGTCGTCGACACCATCGTCGCTAATAGTGCTAGATCCACCTCCAAAACTCTCCGCGATGACCTGTGTTCGCGTCACCTTGCCCGTCGGGCTCACGTAGATCCAACAGACACTCTCTATCCCAGGGAAGGGAGTGTACTCATACTGCAACTCAAACTCCTTGACCTCCCCATCGACACTGATCGTCTTGTTGTGCCCAGTGAAAGTCATGTCCCGGTCGTAAAAGCCCACCTTTGTACGGCTCGATTCATCGCCGTCGTTGTCCAGCTTCACGTCGTACAGATCTCCACTCTGTGCCAGCACGCGGTTGGTATGCGTGTTGCCTGTAAAGTCATTGATGCTGTACAGTATTCCTTCGTCAAGGGCGAAGTTCCTCTTAGTTTTGGTGCCGCCGTAGTCTCCAGATGTCAGGTCGCCAATGGTACCGTTGACGATCTTTCCGACGTCGTCTCCCAGAGTCGCTATGATTGGGTTCAAGTCGAGAGAATCCAGCACGTCCCCAACCCTTCAAGTAATGTGAGTCAACAGCCGCTCAAAGAGTTGCAATGAGCCAGGAAGATATCGAAGAAAGAGGGGCGACATACATTTGAACGACATTCTCCAACCGAGCCTCAAGCTCGACCTTGGCGCTTATGTTCTGGATTGTGAGCTTCACCCTATCGATGGATGCGTCGACGCCGGCGCTGAAGTGAAGCAACTTCAGGACGTCGGCCTGTAGATTAACCTTGGCCGTTATATTGTCGACCTCGATGTCGATCTCGCCGACCGAAACTGATGCATTCAGATACACATCGGGATCCTCTGGTAGAATGCTGTCTGCGTCGGTATTGGTGTTGGCTGTCTCGTAGATTGCCGACTCAGGATTGCCTCGCTGGTCGAGACGGTAGCCAATATATCCATCATCCTGCCTGCTGCCGTGCTCCGCACATGAGACGGAGAAGACAAGCAAACCGAGCGCCAGCAAGCCCTTTGATGAAGCCAACATTGTAAGAGCGCTGAGAGTGTTTTTCAAAGGAGGGACACAGTAGTTGGAAAAAAATTCAAAGCGAATGGTGAGGCAAGGCGCAGATAACGAGAGAGTGTTGTGGTCTGACTTGAAGATGGCAGCTCGATGTGGGCAGTCGTGAGGAAGGGCACCCGGCTGTCAAAAGAACCCACCCACCGAAACGCGTGCACTGTGCGGTAAAAGGGAAGACACTGATGTCAGAGGCGTGGTCTTCACGCTGGGGAAGTTCCGATGGCTCTCCTGTCTTGGAGCAGCCTGGCGTGTGGTGTAATATCAGATTGATGGGTCTTAAGGACCAGGAAAAGGCATGATGGAGAAGGGACTCGGGACCAAAAACAACCGGCTATTCTCCATTCTCGGACCACTTTTCCTTGAGGAGTTACCATTCATCTTTACCGTGATGCTGGGGAAGCTGTGTCCAGGCTCTCACCGGGATCAGGGATACTTACCACCACAGCCCATCTGTGACTCTGGTTGTGGCTCAGCTAGTGCCACGCTACTGCAGAGGACGGCATGAGACGAAGTGAAAAGGGGTAGGGTGGGAGTGCTGCAACATGCAGGAGACTAAACAAGAGCCAAGACAAACTGACGGGCGGAGCTGGCCTTGTTGCATTCGGTTCATTTATCCTCGAGCCTGTAAAATCGCCAGGAGCAGTCCTAGAAGCCCCAAGTGGGTAGGACATTCGTTGCTATAATGGCACACATATCGATATTCCCCTACTGGATTTCTGGCCCACTAAACATACCATCACTTGTCGTCATGGCCAAGTGCTTATTCGCGCCCCCTGGCTCGTCGGAGCTCGCATGGCCCACAGGTTCCGCAGTGGGTCGAGCATTTTGGCCATCTTCTTCCGCCTGACTTTTCCTTGGAAAATATCAAAACCCCATGTCTGATCGAGATGCCCACGGTTTCTCTCCCCGGCCGCCGGCCGGTCCAGGTCGCTTAGAGAACTGGATCACAGGCCACCACTATGCATACCCTGTTGATTGCCAACCTGATTTACCTACCGCTTTCTTGAATCCCAGGCCAGGTCAAGCTGCAGAAGTTTAGCATGAATTCGTGGGGCCATTAGTCCACTCACGTACTAGCTTTCTTTTCTGACGTGCGCTTAATTATACTCCTAAAGGTGACCACCTTTGCGCGCCTCCTTTTGTCGCCCACGCGCCGCCCCCTTCTGTCCAAGACTCGCACTACACACCCACAAGAGGATCCACCCAACACATCTCTCAAGGCTCACTCTTTTGCCTCGGGAACGAGCTCATTGACCGTAATCCACTCTTTTATTCTTACACGGGCAGAGCAGATCTGGCAGCGTTGGCGTGTTTTTTGTCAACAGCAACACCAACAGCAGCAGTATGCGGTCCTACACTTTCCTGTTGTTCGCCCTGTGCCCCGTCTTTTCCCTGTCGGCAGCGCAGACAGCTTCCGCAACACCGGAATCCTCAGCAGAAACAAGCACAATAGAGGCGACCACCGGAGTGACGACCAGCCCGACGCCAACAGTCAGTTCGGGCGGAGGCACTTCGTCGAACGCCACCACTTCTCTCGGTGGCGGCTCTGGCACCACTACATCTGCTGGTAGCAGCAGCACAAAGGGGCCCCCAGATGTGCTTCTGAAAGTTCCCAACCTCTCTGTTGGGAAGATCGAGTAGGCTATCCCTCGAGTTTTATGTTTGCTGCAACCTGTGCTGATCAAACCTAGATTGATCGTAGATAACCTTCAAGCGGAGATCAACCTCCAAGCAGAGATTGCTTCCCTCGTGACCATCAATGCGGGTGTCGAGGTCAGCGTGTCGAAAGTCAACATCACCATTGCGGATGTTGAAGCCGAATTAGAGCTGATCATCCGGCTGGGCAACTGTAAGGCTTGCATCGCGTGGATAATCCTGAGGATATCGGCTGACTCGTACCATTGCAGTGGTTTCCATCGTGAACCGAACGCTTGCGACCCTGGACTTGAATCCTCTGCTTATCAACCTCCTGAACGAGGTCACGGATGTTGTTACTGAAGTAGTTGCCGCCGTGGACAGTCTTCTGGGCAGCATTGTTCAAGGCAACTCCAAGATCAACTTCATTATTGACAACCTCGGAAACATTGTAAGCTGCTCCCGCAGAAAGACTATTGTCGTTGCCCATGAGACGCCCATGGGTAGAGACCGTTGCGCAGCGCCGTCCTTACTTTAAAGTCTCGAGTGATTTGATTGCTAACACCGAATATTCTAGGTCCAAGAGGTCGTCGGCGACGTGGGCAACACTGTATCCACCATTGTGGGCAACTTCGACCAAAATATGACGTTCACGGGCGAGGCGAAGACCTTATCAGGTGGCCTGGTACAAAAGACGTACAAGTACGATCCCCTGGGTACACTGGTCAACATTATCTTCAACGCACTCGGGCAAGTCGTCCAGGCGACAGTAGCCACCTCCACCTCATCGGGGGGATCGGCGAGCACGACCAGCGCGACGACTGCGACGGCAGCCACCTCGGCGCCTGCGAGCACGTCAGCGGCGACGACTGCTACAGCGGCTGCAAAACTTTTGGTATAGTTACGGCTTGACTAGTAATACACCCATTGATGTGTCTCCATGCGATAGCAGCGGCGCGTAAGCCGGCTCACAGCATGCATAAGCTGTGTGCCAAGAAACCCGAACCGTCGGATGACGGACTCGAAATCTGTGATCCCAGTCCTTTCTATTGATAGTGAACGAAACTTAAATCGGGCATGAGTCGCTGTGTCCTGGTGATAGCTAGCCACGCGTGCTTTATCGAAAAGCAAATAGCCATGTGTGAGGACGGCCAATCTTGGGACAGCGATTCGCAGAGCTCCTCTGGTGGATGGATGGCCACCCGCGGACGTAGCACACGGAAACCCATGACAGTTCTCTGATCGATCTAACACCTCGCAGCTTCTCACCCCCAGCCTGTGCTGATGCCCAAACATGTAATTAGCGGGATCGTTGAGGGTTGTACGGAAACAGCTGATTCTGTGATACCATCCTCTGCATCTGACTATCTAAATCACGCACCCCCTCCCCTTTCTTGTTGGATGCAAGATACGCAACTTATTCTAGGACCCGCGGTAGACTCGCACACCATTTGGTTTGTGTGGCGCTGAGGGCATGGCGCAGCCTGGTTCGGTGCATGTGAGTATCGGAAAGTTGGAATATGTGTATTACTGTTACCTATCTAGTATCCACGTGTTACGGATTGGCAATCATTTAGGGTTCAAAATTACCACCTCTGGGCCTTCCTACTTCAAGATGGAAAGTGCTCTTGGGTACCGATAGATCTTCAAGACCACCAATAAATGTCGTCTACAGGTCCTGTTGCTCATGACTGAAAGCGCATCTTTCAACCCTATGCATGACACAATCATGAGAAAACCGACCCCTTCCAGTCTGGTGCGATGGCCAGGTCAGCAATATCTGCGCCTTTTTTAGTATTTGAGGCGACCTTACGATTTTAAGAATATGGCCACGACAATCATTGAAGATTAAATTGAGTTTTGATACCCGGGTAGTAATTTTACCCGCGACTTCAACTTACGGGCGAGGTTGTTTCTCTTCCTGACCGACCACCATTCTCTGAGCAAGCGCAGCGAGCGATCACAGCGGAGCGTCACCCTCCCCCGCTACCATTCTCAGATCGGCCATCTGTACTGGATCATTCAATATTACTGACATCTATGGGCACGATGAAGCGACTCGGCATGAGTGGGCCCTGTGAGAGCATTTAATGTCTGTTACGAGAGAAGGAAGTCATGATGCGGACAGAAGTTTTGCACGAGATGGAAACACATAAGATCCATCAAAATTTTGTACAAGATTGTCTTGGGGGAGAACGACTCACGTCAAAACTCCCGGCTCTCTCCCACAGCACACACATCAAAAAGTCCTGTCGGGGCCAGACCCTTAATCTCCAAGGCCTGCTTAAGCTTCGCCGGCGGCTCTTCCACAGGCTCGCTCGTCAAGGCGAAGGCACCCCAATGCATGGCCATGGCCCTCTTGCACTTCGTATCAAACGGTCCGCGCAGGTCGCCGATCTGAGAGAACTGAGGGTTTCGGGGCAGCTTGTCGAAGCCTGGACCAAGCTCCTCCATGCCCTCAGGCACACACCGGTATCCTGTGTCACCGGCGAACCATATGGATTTGCCTCCTGACTTGACCGCCCAGGACGCCCAGAGCGATTGTCCGTAGTCGAAACCGGACCTCAGGGATCCATGTTGGGACGGTAGGCACGACACTGCTGCCCTAATTTCCTCCGGTGCGTCAGCACCTCCATTGCTGCCGGGGCCTGCTTTTGACCCTGGGATTTTCTGCAGCGTCACCTCGGCGTCCTCCCACCAGTCCATCTCCGTCACCGCGGTGATGCCGCTGTCCCGGAACCACTTAGCCAAACCACGGCCGACGAAGAAATGCAGGCCGGGAAACCTGGTGGCGAGTTCCTTCACGCTCGGGGCCGAGAGGTGGTCGTGGTGGTTGTGGCTGATGAAGACGGCGTCAAGCTCCGGAATATCGCCGGGCATGCAGGCGGCGGGCGTGAAGCGTTTGGGCGCCAACGCACCGTAACGCTCCTCGAAGACCGGGTCGAAGAGCGCACGGAAGCCTGATGGAAACTCGACGAGGTAGGACGCATGGCCCACCCAGGTCGCGCGGAGGTTGGTGCCACCGCCGCGGGAGGTAGCAAAGGTTGGCTTGACGGTTGGGATTTTGGCGTTTGACGTTTCCGGCACTGGTAATTTGCCTGATATGCGATTGCTGGAGCCGGTCGCTAGCGGTTAGGGCTCCGGGTTGAGGTGGAGGTTTGCCTGGCTATGCCGGAATGTATAGACTTACCGGAGGAACATGGAAAGCCCTTGGATCAATGATAGGTCCCTGAACATACCATATGATGGATTTGGGTTCTCGAAAGAGGCTAGGCGTCCAGACTTGTCTTTGACATGGTGTGCTTTGGCATCTTCGGGGGCTTCGCCGGCCTGCACTGACACGGTGCAAGTGTAGGATGTCATCTTGGGGTCAGGTTCGAGACGTGGAGAGGAAATGTTATGGAATTGTCTGAAAAGGGTATTTGAGAAGAAGCGATAGAGACTTGCGATGTAAGCGTGCATATTGATGACCTCGCAGTCGGATGTTCACGTGGGCTGGTGCTCATAAAGAGAGCAGTTCGACTCTCCGAACACGGTCAAGCTGTAACTAAGCCGCGCTACCTTTGACACAAATATTGCGAGGGGTTGGGAGAGTTGTTTATGCCTAGCAGCAACTGAGATGTGAATGGGCGGGACACTGTAAAGGGTTCAACCGCTGGTCATACTTGGTATCTCCCCACGAGATCAGACGAACAGTCTGCTTTGTTTGTGCATTCCGGTTCATCAAAAGTCTGATATGGAATCTAATCCAGGCCATTCAGCCAACAGACTTTTGCTGGATCTGCACTTGGAGGAAATCAAGGCGGAGCTTGCGGGGCTTGCACCGATGTTACACAGTACAAAAATGGCGGCTTTTATTCGTAGGTGAGCTCTAGCCAACGTCAGCCTACCTAGCTTTTACGGTTAGCCCACCTAGCTCCTTCCTTGTGCTAATTTAATTAAATAAAAATATAACGTTTTAAAGTGTAATTTACATTTAAATTAAAAATAATAAATGTTAATAATAAATTATAATTTTAAATAATTGTTTTATTTTAAGGTGGTTAATAATAATTTATTTAAGGTATTAAGATTATAACTTTATAATTAATTCATTTAAGGTAATTAAAAACTTACGCTAAATTTAAAAATGTTAAAATTAAGTAAATTTAATTATATTATTTTTTTAAATTACTTAATTATTAATTTATTTATTATTTATTTAACTTTTTAATTATTTCTTAGCTTTAAATTAATATATTAAATTTATATATAACTTAAAATATTTATTTATATTTTATTAATAAAGAAATTTTAAAACCCTTTTTTTTACTTATTATTTTAAATTACTTTTTAATATTATAAAATATTTTATTTACTTTTCTTTAAGAATTTTATAATAACCTTACAAAATAATTATAAATAATTATATTATAATTTAAGCTTTGCTTATTATAATTAATTAACGGGCTTTAACCTTATAAGAATAAGCTTTAATATAAGTATAAATAAAGAGCAAACCTCTTTCTTTATACTTTAAATATAAACCTTATTTAAGCACCCTATAATAAATAACCCAAGGCTAGCTTATAATATATATTTAAAGTCTTTTTATATTATAAATTTATAATATAATTATATATAATTTAATATAATAAAACTTAAAAAGAATAATAATAGCTTATTAAGCCCTTTTTTATTTTAAAGAACTTTTATTTTAAAAATATTTAATAATTTAGCTAATAAAAATAAGGGTTAAGCTTATAATAAATAAAGAAATAATTAGCATTAAAGGGGCTTAATTTTTTTATATATTTAATTAGCTAAAATCTTTTTATAAGTAATTTTTACTTTATATTAATTTTATAAAAATATTTAAAAGATAATTAAAAAGCTTTTTAAAAAGGTTTGCCTTATAATTAAAAACTTTTTTAAGTAAAAGTATATTAAGTTTAGCTTAATTATATTATAATAATATTATAAAAAGGAAATAATAAAGTTTCTTACTTAATTTAATTAATTAACTTATATAATAAAGGCTTAAAATTAATTAAATAAATATAAAATATTATTAATAATTAATAATTTAATCTTTATAATAAAAACTTAACTTAATTATAAGAAATAATTAAAAATATTTAAAGCTTTTTACTTTACCTTATAATAATATAAGGATATTTTTAATATTATAATAAGGGAAGATAATACTTAACTTTAAAATAATAAAATAATAAATATTAATATTATAATAATTTTAATAAGAAAAGTTAAGTATTTTATATATAGCTAGCTTAATTATTATAAGCATAATTACCTTAATTATTATAAGAAAATAAAAATATAACTTTTATTAATTAAAATTAATAAAAAGGAAGAGTTTATTTAAGGGGATATAAAATTTTTTTATAAAATAAGGCTTAAAGCATTGCTAACTTAATGCTAGCTTAAGCTTAAAATAAGCTAGCTATATATTAATTAATTTAATGTTATAAAATACTTAAAATTTAAAAATTCCTTATTAATAAAGTAAATTATTTATAATTAAGCATTAATTAATTATAAATCATATAATATATTTATAATTTTTATTAGCTAGGTTACATATTGCAATATAATGTTTGGTTGATATAGTGGTTAATTATTATTAATTATGGAAGGAAGGAAGGCAGAAAGCTTAACTATGCTAGCTATTTTATATGTAGCGTTAAGGCTGCTACCTGCTGGGTATTTTAACAAGCTAAAGCTGCTTAATTTTAAATAATCCTTTATATAAATAATATTTATTATTCCTATATTAGTAATTTCTATTTTATAAATATATATTATTTTTAAAAAGTATAAAAGAAAGAAAGGTATTAAGTTAAATTAAACTTAAGGTTAAGAGGTATTTAATTAATTGCATATATAAGTTAAATTATAAGTACGTTATTATTTTATTATATTATATTATTATAAAAAGTAAATATATAAAAAGGCTTAGGTTATTATTAAAGGGTTAAAGGTTAATTAATTTATTAAAATATATAATTAATAAGTAAAAGTTAATTAAATATATATATATATTAAAATATTTTAATTATATAAAATTAAAAAGCTTAAAGGGTTACAATTACTATATAAATATTTTATTTATAATGCATTTTATAAATTTATGCTTTTATTACTTATAATGCTTAAGTTAAATAAAAATTAAATTAAACTCTTAAACTATTAATATAATTATTTAATCTTTAAATAATTAAAATTTCTTAATTTAGCTTAGCCTTAGCTTTGCTATGCTTAATATTGCATATTAAATAAAGAAATTAAAGAGTATAATTAAAGAATAAGTTATTAAAATAAAGGTTAAGTAAATAAAGTTAATAAATTATAAGAATTAATAAATAAGGTATTTAAATAAAGGAAAAGTAAAGTATAAAATAAAGATTATTAATTAAATTAATAAATAGCAATAATTTTAATTTTAATATATAAATATTAAATTATAAAATTTAATTAAAGATGCTTATTAAATATAAGCTAGCAATTTAAATACTTATGAAATAATAATAACTCTTATTATTTAAATTCTTAATGCATAAGCATTATTATAAAAATCTTAAATATAAGGTTTGCCCTTAAGAAGAATATAATTTAAAATTAGCTAATTATATTGCATTATAAGGTAATTTATAAATAATTAATAAATATAAATTAAACTTTTATATTTTTGCTATGCATTACCTTTAATTAAAAAAGTTATTTTATTATTTCTTATTAAAAGCCTTTAATAATCTTTTATTTTTATAATTATATAATATATATATTTAAGTTAATTACGTTAATATTAATATAATAATTTTATAATATATAATATAATAATAATATTTAAGATTATATTAACGCAATTTATTAATAAGTTATTAAATTATGCTTTAGCAATTTAAGTTTAAGCTTTAATGCATTATAATTTTCTTAACTTTTTATTATATTTAAATAATTACCTTATCTTTTTAGCTATAATTTATATAGCCTTGCACCTTAATTATAATATTATTTATATTTATAAAGCATTAAAAAGTATTATTAAAAGCATTTTTTATAAAGACGTTAATTAAGTTGCAATTTTTAATAATTTAATAAATCTTAAAAATCTTATGCTTCTTATATAATTATTAAAAAGCTATAATATTAATTATAAAGCGCTTTTCTTTTATTATATTAAGCTTAATTAAGTATTTATATAAAGAGTATAAGTTAATATATATTATAAAAGGAATTATTATAATATTTAAATATATAATAACTTAATATAAAGTAGTTGCTAGCATTATAATTATATTAAAGCTATTAATTATGCTATAAATTTTTAAAGCTAAAATGCTTTAAGTTACTTTTTAATATTTTATTAAAAATTAATAAATAATATTGCTTTTAATATTTTATTTAAAAGTTTATTAAGTTTATATCTTATTTATAAATATAATAATAAAGCTAATTTATAAGCTAAAGTTTTTATTATTAATAAATAAGTTATTAATAAAGATTATTAATTTAACTTAAGATAAATTTAAAGGTATATATTAAAGTTCATGCTTTAAGTTATTAACTTATTATTATAGCTAATAATTTAACTTATTATAATCTTTATAGAAAAGCTTTTAAACTTAAGCTACTATTAATAAATTAAATACTGCCTTAAGTTAATAAATAAAAGCAAAATATGCTCTTTATATATATTATTTTATATATTATTAAGTATAATTATTAGCCTTATTATTAATAAGCATAATCTTTTTATTTTAGCCCTTTTAATAAAGATATAAAATACCTTTATTAAAAATACTTATTATTATATTATTAAAAATAAGTAATTTATTTATAATAAATATATTCTTTAGCTTATATTAAATATTTACCTTATTAATTTTTTACTTTTTTAGCTTTAAGAATATTAAAATATTAAGGGATAATATATTATTAATTTATATAGCAGTAATAATAAATATATTCTTTTCTTAATTTATAATTAAAAAACATAAGTTATATATTAAGATAACTATGCTTAAATTATTATAATACAATTTATAATAAATTACTTATTAATATATATTAAATTTAGCAATATTATATAATAATTTAATAATTTATATAATAATCTTAAAAAAGTATTTATTTTAAATCTTAAAGGGTAAGTAATATAAAATAAATTACTTAAGCTTAAACTTTAACTAAGAATATGCTTAAATAATATCTTAAAGCTTTAATTAAAAGCCTTATATTAAAAGAAATAGGGTTAAAGTAATTAAAAGCCTTTAGCTAGCTCTTTAAATAATTAAAAATTATATAAAAATATTATATTTATTCTTATTATTATATTTAATAATAATAAGTTGTAATTTCTT